CAGGTCCTGATCAAACTGTTAATTAGCTCCTCTTTAGCCATCGGGATCTAGCTCCTGCTGCTGTCAATCACAGTCAGTAAGGAAGGAGCAGGGGGCGAAGCTGAGCTGTGCTCCATGTACCTTATGGACACACAGAGCCGGCTAGGGAGTGAGCATGCACAAGTGCCCTCATAGTAAGCAGCTTGCTGTGGCGTGCATTCAGTAGGGGGGAGGGGCCAGGAGTGCCGTCAGGGGACCTGAGGAGAGGAGGACCGGGGCTGCTCTGTTCAAAACCTTTGCACAGAGTGGGTAAGTATACCATGTTTGTTCTTTTATAAAAAAAATAACATTTATGCCTTTAGAATCACTTCAGGACCATGATGGGATCCTCACACAAGACATTTTCTTTGAATGGAAATCGAGGTAGCAAGTTTGCTGCATACAATTATCCCCCATTATCACACACTTCTCAAGAGGTTTCTCGTTTGCAATGTATCAATGCCATTTATGATTAATCCGATTGAGTGGCAGCAATGATTGCTTTGAAGTAATCATGGTAAGACGTTGGGTTTTTTTTTCTCCTTCCTTTTACTGCAATTATACAAACGCAGCAGAATTGTTGGGGTTTCTTTACACAATATGTATATTGAATGTTTACTATGTGAACACCTCTCTTGCTTCCAGTACAAGGCCGGGACAAGGGGTGAGCAGGAGGGGAGCTGCCCTGGGCACAGCAGAGCAATGGGTAGAGAATGGACACAGGGCAGTAAACCCATTCTGAGGCATTCATTAACAGTGGGGGGGGGCGCAGTTCTGTATCCTTACCCTGGGAGCTTGATGAACCTGTCCTGTTTTCTGCTCCAGTACCTGTGGATGTTGCATAAGTACGCACTTACGGCATCCAATGTGAAACGGTCTTGTCTAACTGTCTGGCAACAGTGGATAATAGAGGAGGGAAATCCCTCCCAGTGGTACCTGCATATTGGATGATCAATACTTCCTTTGTGTAGCACTACTACCCGTTAGGGGTGGCTGAAGATTTGGGTCCAACTATAGTCCTGTACAGCAAGGAAACATGCAACACAGACTTGCATTCTGGAGACAGTAAACAGTCCTTGAGCTTTGTTTTTTTTAATTTTATTAGGGGTATTGAACTTGCAAGGGAAAGAGGGGTGTATGGGTGTCCAGGAATGGACTTGCCAGCAATGGTGGGACTCACCTGCCTTTTGATCTGCAGTACCAGGCTGGCCAGCGGGTGCTCCCAGCAATCAGAGACTCAACTTTGCAGCCAGCTAACACCTGGAACTGATTATGCTGGGGTATTTAAGGGATGGCCAGACTTGCAGACTCTGCCTTGGTGTTTGTGTTTGTCCTGGGCCCTGTAGCCTGTTTCTGTCCTGCATCCTGTTTCTGAACCGCTTGCTGACTTCTCCTGCTCTGATCCCAGCTCGCTCCTGACCATCCCTCTGCCTGACCCTCTGTACCACGCTGCTTGCTACCTGTTCTGATCCCTGGCTTGTGACCCTGACCATCCCCCTCTGCCTGACCCTCTGTACTACGCTGCTTGCTACCTGCTGAACCTGGCCTGTGACCCCGACCAATCTCCGCTTGCTCCCCCTGTACCTACCTGCCCTATTGATATTGACCCAGCCCGCCTGACGACGCTTGCTTGTATGTACTGTTATCTGTGGGTGGTTGGTTTGGTTTGGTTTGGTTGCACTGTATTATGTTTTAGTATTGCACTGCGTTTATGTTTGTATTGTTAGTGTTAATAAATTATATTGTTTATAACATATCTGAGGTCTGCGTTTCCCTGCGTCAGCCACACACCTCTGGTCACACCTGGGAGCCCTGACATTACACCAAGGCCAATCCTGACCAGAAGTGGCTGCACAGGGAAGCCATCTTGGTTTGTTGCTGGGAAGGATGGATCTGGATGAGGTTGCGTATTTATATCTGCTAGTGTTTTGATGACAGGGAGTATGCTTATCAAACTCTGAAGGAGTATCCCCGGATGAACTGCTAGAATGTATACGGCTCGCTCATGTTCTAGTAATCAGGCACAGAGTTCACTGAGGTGCAGCCATTGATTGAGGTTTGTGCTGAGTTGGTTTCATCTGGTTCCCCCGAATGCAGGGATGAATTTTTGCCACCATTTAGTGCAGACCAGGTAGAGTCCCTGGTGTGGTTATTTAGAGGATGATGTGGGTTACTTTCTGAGCGTTATTCCACATGTTCACCACAGACAGTAAGAGATTGTATAAACGCAGTGCAGTCATTGACCAGACAGGCTTTGTGTAAGCTCAGCTTTGTTCAACCCATACTGCAGACATGGACAGATTTGTTGCACCCAGCCTCAGTCAGCTTACAAAGACCCAGTCCTGCTTCTAACTCTACTCCTGTATTCCCACCAGCTCCTCCAGTTACAGCCCAGTATACTTGGCTATTCTACCGCATGTCAGTACCCTGTTCCCACTCGCTGCACCTATCCTGCCTTTAACCCTGTAAAAAAAAGCCCTCTGTAGCAACTGCTCCCCCTCTCCTGTTCCATCCTCCAGTTTTTCTCTGTCTCCAGCTGCTCCATTTCGTTTGCAGACCTGCGTTTTACTTGCAGTGCTCCAGTAGTTTAAAACCAGAAAAAAAGCGAAAATTCTTTCCAACCAATACCATCCTGCCAGTATCCAAACCGGTGAACCTGCCTTCCGTGACTCAGTCTGAAGCTCTCTACTCAGCCTGAAGCCTCTACTCAGCCTGAAGCCTCTACTGAGCCTGAAGCCTCTCTTCAGCCGGATGCCCTCTCTTCAGCCGGATGCCTCTCTTCAGCCGGATGCCTCTCTTCAGCCTGATGCCCTCTCTTCAGCCTGATGCCTCTCTTCAGCCTGATGCCTCTACTCAGCCTGAAGCCTCTACTCCAGCCTGAAGCCTCTACATACTCAGCCTGAAGCCTCTACTCAGCCTGAAGCCTCTACTCAGCCTGATGCCTGCATTCAGCCTGATGCCGCTACTCAGCATGATGAACTGATCCAGCCTGGACGATCCTATTAGGCCAGTTGACTCGATGCCCGCTGTTGATCCAGATGATCCGGTACCTGATCCAGTGCCCGCTGTCGTGCCAATTGACTCAGAGCCCGCTGTCATACTGGTGACCCATCCGCTGTTCCGCCAGTTGACTCGGTGCCCGCAGTCTTGCCAGACGACTCGGTGCCCGCAGTCTTGCCAGACGACTCGGTGCCCGCAGTCTTGCCAGACGACTCGGTGCCCGCAGTCTTGCCAGACGACTCGAAGCCTGCTGTTCCGCCAGTTGGCCTCGGTGCCCGCAGTCTTGCCAGACGACTCGGTGCCCGCAGTCTTGCCAGTTGACTCGATGCCCGCTGTTCCGCCAGTTGACTCGGTTTGCCCGCAGCGTCTTGCCAGACGACTCGGTGCCCGCAGTCTTGCCAGACGACTCCGTGCCCACTGTCGTGCCTGGTGACTCGTGTGCCCGCCGCTTCATCTGGGGGCCTGAGACCTGTTGCTCCGCCTGAGGGCCCGAGACCTGTAGCTCCGCCTGGGGGTCCGGCGCCCGCCCGCTCCGCCTGGGGGCCCGATGCCTGTCGCCCCGCCTGGGGGCCCGATGCCTGTCGCCCCGCCTGGGGGCCCGATGCCTGTCGCCCCGCCTGGGGGTCCGATGCCTGTCGCCCCGCCTGGGGGCCCGAGGCGCATCGCTCCATCTGGGGGTCCGGCGCCCGCCCCGCTCCGCGCCCGCCGCTCCGCCTGAGGGCCCGAGACCGTCGCTCCATCTGGGGGTCCGGCGCCCCGCCGCTCCGCCTGAGGCCCGAGACCTGTCGCTCCATCTGGGGGTCCCGGCGCCCGCCGCTCCGCACTGAGGGCCCGAGACCTGTCGCTCCATCTGGGGGTCTGGCGCCCGCCGCTCCGCCTGAGGGCCCGAGACCTGTCGCTCCATCTGGGGGTCCGGCGCCCGCCGCTCCGCCTGAGGGCCCGAGACCTGTAGATTTCCGCCCGGGGGCCCGCGCCCGCCGCTCCGCCCTGGGGCCCGAGGCCCGTCGCCCCGCCCGGGGGCCCGAGGCCCGTCGCCCCGCCCGGGGGCCCGAGGCCCGCCGCCCCGCCCGGGGGCCCGGTGCCCGCCGCCCCGCCCGGGGCCTGGTGCCCGCCGCCCCGCCCGGGGCCCGGTGCCCGCCGCTCCGCCTGGTGGGCCCGCTGCCTGCCCGCTTCGTCTGGTAGCCCGATGTGCCTCTGCCCGGAGTCCTGCCCCGATGTGCCTCTGCCCGGAGTCCTGCCCGATGTGCCTCTGCCCGGAGTCAAGCCCGATGTGCCCCCTGCCCGGAGTCCAGCCCGATGTGCCTCTGCCCGGAGTCCAGCCCGATGTGCCTCTGCCCGGAAGTCCAGCCCGATGTGCCTCTGCCCGATGTGCCTCTGCCCGATGTGCCTCTGCCCGGAGTCCAGCCCGGTGTGCCTCTGCCCGGAGTGCCCCCAGCCCGGTGTGCCTCTGCCCGGAGTCCAGCCCGGAGTGCCTCTGCCCGGAGTCCAGCCCGGTGTGCCTCTGCCCGGAGTCCAGCCCGGTGTGCCTCTGCCCGAGAGTCCACCCGGTGTGCCTCTGCCCGGGTCCAGCCCGGTGTGCCTCTGCCCGAGTCCAGCCCGGTGTGCCTCTGCCCTGAGTCCAGCCCGATGTGCCTCTGCCCCCGGTGTACCACTGCCCGGAGTCCTGCCCGGTGTGCCAGTCTTTGATATCCCCGCCAGTTACCAGACCCGGGTGGTGGAACATTTTTATCCCAGCTAGGACTGTATTTGGAGCGTCCTGAGGCCGCTCCTTGAGGGGGGGGTACTGTCAGGAATGGACTTGCCACAATGGTGGGACTCACCTGCCTTTTGATCTGCAGTACAGGGCTGGCCAGCGGGTGCCTGCTCCCAGCAATCAGAGACTCAACTTTGCAGCCAGCTAACACCTGGAACTGATTATGCTGGGTATTTAAGGGATGGCCAGACTTGCAGACTCTGCCTTGGTGTTGTGTTTGTCCTGGGCCCCTGTATCCTGTTTCTGTCCTGCATCCTGTTTCTGAACCGCTGCTGACTTCTCCTGCTCTTATCCCGGCTCGCTCCTGACCATCCCTCTGCCTGACCCTCTGTACCACGCTGCTTGCTACCTGTTCCTGATCCCTGGCTTGTGACCCTGAACCATCCCTCTGCCTGACCCTCTGTACTACGCTGCTTGCTACCTGCTGAACCTGGCCTGTGACCCCCGACCAATCTCCGCTTGCTCCCCCTGTACCTACCTGCCCTATTGATATTGACCCAGCCCGCCGACGACGCATGTTGCTTGTATGTACTGTTATCTGTGGGTGGTTGGTTTGGTTTGGTTGCACTGTCTTATGATTTAGTAATTGCACTGCGTTTATGTTTGTAATGTTAGTGTATTTAATAAATTATATTGTTTATAACATATCTGAGGTCTATGCGTTCCCTGCGTCGCAGCCACACACCTCTGGTCACACCTGGAGCCCTGACCATGGGATTCCAAAGGAACAGTAAAACTGAGGACAACCTCCTGGCCAACTATGTACCAGTCTCATCTAAATAGCAAAACAAACCACTTCTTGGAGAGCTCTCCAGCCCAAGCACCTCTTGGTGTACCACCCGCCAAACCCAGATGAACACCTCCCCTCATCCATTCCACACTGGGTAGAATCCCTGGGGCAAGGAAACCCAGAGACTCCTTAGATAAAACATTCCCAGATAGGGGCTAGTCAGGTTTTCCCAACCAAATGCCTGCCCCTTATCTGGCCCCGAAGGTGTAAGAGTACTTTTTATTCTTTCCCTTTATGGTGCTGTTTGGGTTTTGGGGGCTGCCTTCAGGGCCTTTCCGCTGGACGGCACCTTCCCCCGCCTTTCAAAAAGGGTCCTTTCCCAGGGGCTCCCAGGGTTTTAGTGAAACCCCCTTTTCCCGCAACCCCGCCTAGAGGTAGGGTCTTCCCACTGGGGGCCCCCCCTCCCCCCGGGTCCCACATCTCGCTTTAAAATTCATCTTTCCCCCTGAACCTTTACCCAGGTTTGGGCCTCCCCCCAGGGGGCCTTCCCCCCGGGGGGGCGACCTTTTTCCAGCAACTCTGCCTGGAGGGAGGCCCTTCCCAAAGGGGTCGCCCCAAATCCACATCTCCTTTCACTTTATCTTCCACCTGAAATTTCCTGCCGCTGAGCAGGCCAGTCACATTTGAAGGCTGGCCCCTTTTCCTCAAGCCGCCTCCGCTTGGGGATTGGGGCCCAAAAACCCAAAATGGGCAAGGGCCAGCCCCCCTCACCCCTGCCCACTGCTTCTGAAAAATTCTCCAAGGTTTTAGGGGCAGGGGGAGGTATAAAGGAACGACCTGCAGAGCCCCTCAGGGGGGGCCCGACCTAAAAGTTGACCCTGCTGACCCAAAAGCCCAAGCTTTCTACCCCAAATTTATAACCCCAAAAAAAAATGTAACTAGCTCCCCTTGGGGTATCTAAGGGGTTCTACACTTGGTTTAAAATTCCTTTTAAAACTGAGGGTTTTGATTTTGGAATTTTTACAGGATGAACGGCGAAGGGGATAGAGGGGCGCTATGGGGGTTATTTACAAAAGGGGGGAGGGGGGTCCCAAAAACAACTCCCTTCTGCATAAAACCAATCACTTTTCCCGGGTTTTATTGGGCCAAAACTTCCCCCTTTAACAAGCTAGGTTAGAACTGATTGGTTTTTATGCAGAAGGGGGTCTGAATTTTTTGGCTCTCCAGCTTTTGGGAAAAAAACCCCTATGGTCCCCCTCGCATATTTTCATACCCGACCGTT